AATGGAGAAGTTTATACAACAACTTACAATGGCCTTATAAGAGGCATGGCACTGCTTTTTTATCACATATAATTGATAGAAGCATTATGTAGATAATCAGTGGTAATACAAGACCTTTTGGGAGGGTGATCAGGTGTTATTTTCCAATGACAACTTGCCACTTGCTACTTCAACCCAAATCTATAAATTAATACCTCAGTGGCTTGGATCTTTATGTATTTTTGAAGTGATTTTTCATGTCGCATATTACCTCGAGCTTCTACAATATATTTGGGTCCATCCAATCTTCTATGTTTTGCAACTAAAAGAATTTCATACTAAGCCAAAGCACTTTTCAAATCAACATCAACTACGACCACCACCAGTTGTAATTGATGACTAGTAAGAATAGGAAGTGGACAATACTTTAGAGCATTGCTACCTTTTCTATGGCACTAGACATCTACAACTTTAGTACAAAGTTCTTTCAAAAGATTATTCCATCCATGATGCAACATAGAAACTTACACAAAACCTTAATCATTGTCAAGAAACAATTTGGAAATACCATTGAGAGAAAAATGAGGACATTCTGCATTACTAAAAGATGATTAATTATAATAGGGTATTTGTATTATTGATACATAGGAATAGATATTTGGGACCTTCTAAAAAGAATTTAAAGCAATTACTTAAGTAGGATCCATAATCTAGGAATATTTTAGAAAGTCTAGTGTAATAGAATAAAATATAAATACGACTAGCTAAGGCCTTTTGGGTATTTGGTCATGTATGGCTTCAAATCTTTTTTTCTTAGTAAAGTTTGGTTTTTCATCTTCATATTTAATTCTGTTCTATTCTATTTTTATTTTCTCAGACTTATCTTTCATGTCCTATTCTATTTAATTCTATTCAATTTTATTCTAGTGTATTTTATTCTTGTCAATGCCTTTCTAATTTTTAGACTTTTTTAAGACTTTTTAGTCTTCTTGTCTTTAGTAATAGCCATTTTAGTTCAATATATTACCATCTTTGAGTGATTTCTTAGTCTTTTTGAGTGACATAAGAATACATTGAGATTTTGTTTCTTTGAGATTTATGTCTTTAACAGAAACTCTTTATTATAAATTTTATAGTTGATTTTAATTGTATAAAACTTACAAGATTGAAAGGCAAAAAAATGAAATTTTTTATCTTTGTTATATTATAATAATATTAAGTTTATGGCAAAGTTGGATGCATTTGTTTCTAAATAAAATGGTTTTGATAGATTTTTTTGAATTAATTTTAGAATTGATGGAAATAATTGTTTTAATACTTAAAAAGCATCTTTGGTCTTATTATCTCATGTGATTTTTTTTTAATAAGTCATATTAATAATACATTAATTTTAGAGTTTTTTTTATTAAAAATTTGATAGAAATTTACAAAGTCAAAAAAAAAATTGGACATCTTATATTAATATTATTATTTTTTGATTAAAAATAATTTGTATCTTTTGATTATCTATAAAAATTTCTTCTTTAAAAATAATTTATTCTAAAAATTCTAGTGAAGACTTGTGAACAAGACATTTCTCTAATTTGGTATAAAGAACTATTTTTTATAGTTTTTCTATAGAAGTCTTACATGTTGTTTGAATATGTAAAGATTTCACCAAGATAGATAATCATAAAGTCATCTAAATAGACTTTGAATTTATCATTCATTATGTGCTAAAAAGTAAGAAGGCCGTTAGTGAAGCCAAATAGCATAATATTAGTTCAAAATGGCCATACTTTACTTCAAAGGTAATTTTCTACTTGTCTTGTTTTTTAATATAAATAAGATTGTGAACTCTTCAAAGATCAATCTTGGTGAAGATATAAGTTTTTTTAAGTTTCTTCAAAAATCTTGCTATTTAGAATAAAGAATATCTATATTTCTTTACAATCTTATTAAAACCATAATAGTCAATATACATATGAAGAAAATCATTTTTTTCTTGATAAATAAGATTGGTGCTCTAGTTGGAAATTTAGAATATTAAATGAAGCCTTAAGTCAAATTTCCATCAATATATTCTTACAAAGTGTCCAATTTGGTTTGTAATAGATTATAAATTATTTTGTGTAGAAGTTGAAATACATCTAATAATTCAATTGTACAATCATAAGCTTGATATTTTAGTAACATATTTTCTTTTTACTTCTCAAATATATCCTTGAAATATTTATATTGAAGAGGCTTGTCTTATAAAGGTAGTATTATTGACCTATCCATTGATGTTGCATAAAAAATAAATTTTATATCATTTTTAGTAGCTCATATAAATTCTCTGTCTTCTATAAATAAAGATTGAGATGACTTGCTTACTTAAAAATTTATTCTTCTTAAGAATTTCTTCAATTCTTAAGCAATATCAAGATTATGTAATTTAAACCAAAAAAAAATCAAATACCATTGGATTTGAAGAAAAAACAAATATAAATAGAAATTTAATTTAATTATCATTATTGGCTTCTATAAAGAGATTCATGTCTAAAGCATATTTTTACAACTTAATTTGCCATGCAATAACAATATTTTGTACTAAAACGATGCAAATTATATAATTCAGCTTTGTAGGAAGAAAAATTACTTTATTAATTACTTAAGGACTTAAAAAATGGTAGTAGATATGATTGCCTTTTTCATTTCAAAATTTTTAATCAAACCGTGTTGCTTCTCCAATAATGATTATCTCTTTGCACTTATTACTTCTACAACATGAAGTCTTTAAGAAAGAACAAAAAAAAAAAGATTTTGTTTTGGTTGGTTTTTCTAAAGATTCTCCTTGCAGAGTAATATCTTTCTTACTTTATTTATAATTTTGTATAAGCTTTAATATCCTATTATATAATGTGATTTTTTAAAAAAATTAATTTAATTATTTTTTAAAAAATTAATATATATAGCACTATTTTTATTTTATTTTTTATATTATTTTTGATTAGAAATACTTTGATAATCTTTTACTATTTTTAGAATTTTGGATTAGTTATATTAAAATTAATTGAGATATGAAGATTTTGTAAAAACTTATATTTAGGAAAATTGTTAATCTTAGACATATTCAAGAATTACATGGAATAAATATTGTAAGCCAATAAATAAATAAATAAATAAATAATAATAAAAAAATAAAAAAAAATAAAAAAAACTTAAGTGTAATCAATCTTAAAGACTCTTGAAAAATTCTCTTTATTATGTGGATTATGTATGCATTAAAACTTTAAAAATTTAAAGCATAATTTTTTTTCTTAATTAAAAAATAATAAAAATTATTCTTTACTTACAAAAAAAATAGCTATAAGATTGTTGTTAGGTATTATTTTCATATAATAAAAAATGTTCCTAATCTAAAAATTAGACTAAGAAAATGAAAACATAGCATGTAATGGTCTAATACTTTTAACTTTTTCTACCAAAAATATTCTATTTTCTATTACATATGTCTTTATAATAGGAACCATAACACGTCATTATTAGAATTTCTATTAATTTGATTAAATTTAATTATATATATATAATATGCAATATTTTTTTGATATTGTTTATACTCAAAACAACAAAATCAAAGACTTTGGACAAATTAAGATGATGTTCTCTCTTGTTTAGGCACATAAGGATTTTTGTAAATATTTTATTACTTCTTTATCTTCTAAATGTCACGACATTCTTAACATAGAACCTTAGGTGTTTAAAAATGATAATAGGATTGATCTTTATAGTATAATAGAAGATCCATTGGTAGTTTTCCGACTTCAAGAACATAAATTAATTCCAATACTAAATCTATATTTTACATTATTACAACCTAAGGTCTTAGATCTTTACTAGATAGGTTTCCAATCACATGCCTTCTATTGGAGATATAAAAAAAAAAAAAAAAAAAAAAAAAAAAACCTTAAACAAATTAAATCAAAGAATAGGTTGTCGTAGGATGCATAATCTTCTTTTATTAGATGGTTTTATATGAATAATAAAAGCAGTACCTATATTAAAAGAAAGTGAAGAAAACCAAATAAATCTTAAATTATTTTATGAACCAATTGATTTCATTAAATTTGATCTATTGTTTTGTAATTGAAAAACCAAGCACAAATTTATGAACTATACTCAAGTACAAAACTACTTAAGTACAAATTTATAAACTATACGACCAAATTGGAAAGAATACTCAACACTAATCAATGAGATTAGAAAAATAGAATGGTATCTCAAAACAAGACTATTAATTCAATTGGTTTAGTGTTCAAGATATAGACGTGTATTCAAGCAAAGAAGGAAACTAACTATGCTTATATGTTACAAAGGTCTAGCAGCAAATGCCTGATAGAAAGCTCGAAGGCATTCCAATATCTCTCCTTTTGCCACGTTTTGCAATCACATAAGATGAAGGAACCTTACTAGCCTTGGATCGGCTCCAGAACGTGGTTTGGGTGAGGAGGTGCTAATGAGATCATAGTATCATCACTGCCGTGATTGATAAGCTGATTTTCTTTATCCTCTACTTACAAGACGAATTTGCTATGTATCATCTCCACTTGCAATTGAGGATAGAGGATGTAAAAACTTGAGCTTTTAATCAGACAGAAGATGACCCAATTACTGATCTGTAAACCAACTTTTTTCATAAACTACTTCCACCCAAGTCAGAAAATCGCCGATCTTGTATCATCAACCCTACCTGGATAGATTTTTATTTCGAGCATCACACGCGATATACAGCCATTTGGACCCGATAACGAGATCACCGAGTAATAATAATCGGTTAGGTGTTCCCATTCGACAACATTGGCACAATTGTAAGTCAAATGAAGAGAGGTCATGGGTTTGAAAGGATTGAGAATATCTATGACTTCAAACCATGAACAATTTGCTGGGGGGTAATGTTACCCACCCAACGCCCATTTCTCTACGTCTTGAGGAGTGTAATCGTCTTTCCAGAACAAGGCGAGTATGACTTCTGTCACTCTCAGCATTTCACTGTCACAGAATCACGGTGAAGCTCCTTTGATGTATTCCATGTGCGTCAATTTTTCTTGGGTTTATGGACGCATATATAGCACTGGCACAGATCAATATCGCAGCTCACCAATAGAATGCCTCGTTGATGATTGCAACAAATAATTACGAACATTTTGTAGCTTCCATTGAGTGGGAGCCTCAGCACTGCAACAAATGGTGTTTGGGGTTGTTTCATTCCCCTCGACTTGTCTCCCTGATTAATGGAGTAATTTCACAGAATGCTGGGGTCTCACTACTGTCTTAAAGCTTATAACGGCAGACATATCTGAGTATTGCCACGTGTACATCTCTACAGAAACAAGGCATTCTGAGCATTCTACCACAGGTACACAAGTGCTAATATTCATCTGCACCTAAAAGAGCTGAAATTACAAGCGATATCGCCAACTCAGGTTTCCGGACCCCTTGCAAACAGAGTGACAAGCCCACGGAATACTTGTCCCGTAAGCTGACGCGCTGGGAGAAGTTCGCCATCCACATTCCACACGCTTTCCTTATCCCCATGTGACAAAAACGTGAACAAGGGTGTCTGCGACACAAACAAACGTAAGCTCAAGTAAGAATAGAGTTTTGGTTATAATGTAGCAATTCAGAGATACGCCTTGTAGGGAAGAACAACCGTACCAGTAATTTCGTGAGAGGCAACACTATGTAGCTAATCAGAAAAATCATGTCAGAAGATTGACCCAGCTTCACACCTTATGATGCTCAACGAATGGAAAATTGAAAGGATCCGCACCACGTCTAGTCAAGCGCAGCAGCTGCCTGTTTAGAAAACCCCAATCAATTAAGAAAGAAACTAGACTATGATAAAAAGACTCGTCTTCCCTTCTTTCACAGCAAGTAAAATATTTTGGCTTCGAATTAAAGAGAACTATAAAACAAACCTGAGATAGTCAGGACGAGAACACTCTCGAATGAGGATTAGATGAAGCAGTCCATCTGCCAAGTGTGCATGGGCAGCCACTCCTTCCGGAGCTTTCTCATTCCGGCAAGACATGACTGCGGCACCTATGCTCTGAAACTTCGCATGGCATGTTTTCCATGTTGGTCCTTTACTACTCTCTTGTTGTCGGGGCCCCTCTGTGTCACTGTCACTGTTGATTACGTGGGAGAAATCAAACCCACTTGCACAAACTGCACAATTTGCGAGGCATACGACCTACAAGATTACACAGCCACTGTCATCGATGCAGCAAATTATTGCTTGAGATTTAGAATCTGAGATACGAACTGTAAAAAATGGTATGTCTATGAAAAAACTAAGAACTTAAGAAACGCTCAAGTAAATTCCAACACTCCACTCAAAAAGGATGGTTGTGAAGGTTTATCGAGGATAATGTGGTTTAACGACACAATAAAAAAATCACGTTGAACCACTCCTTGCAAGGTGCATTTTATTCTTACACAATTTTAATACAGTGAATATACCTTTTTGTTGTCATCAGGTCTGGTCTTGATAGATGTCTTTCTTGTCCAAGGGCCTTGAGGTATCTCTTTCTGGGGATCTGATGGGATATCTAAAAATGAGATTTCGGCCTCATAACTTCTGTTACATACACACGGTTTACAAATCGTGTGTCATGCAGCCGTCCCTTGGAATAATCTTTCCAAAAAGCCTTTATTAAGGAGATGGCTTAGCCATTGATAAGAACAGAAAAGGAAGAAAATCTCACTTGTGTTTTAAGAAGACCATACAGCCTGCAATATCATAACGAGCAGGACCCATCCACCGTAATTCCTCGCTTTCCCTCATCACATCTCCATAGAAACCATATCTGTCAAAAAGATCGTCAATAAACACTGTGAGCGCATGCATTGTGTTCGCATACAATCAGCAACCCATTCAAAGGGTAGTAAGATCCACAAATGTCTATGTTTACACAACTTAATTAATGTCTAATTCAGATGCATCCCTACCCAGCAAACGATGCTGCATAACGAACTTCAGGCTTCTCATCTGGTGACGCCTCCGGATCGTTTCTCCAGCCAGTAACTCTTACTATATCCAGAGGCATGCTGTCTCCTAGAATTATATGAAGCGCTGATGTTAATGGGTCACGTGTCCCTGTTGTACTGTACATGTGAACCAAGATGGAAATTTAAGAGGCAGTCACCAATATGAGGATGAATCTCTTTGACAACAGAGACAGATTTAATAGAAGACTCTAGGGAACAGGTAGCAACTAAATTTAAGGCTCACAGATATTCCCAACTGAATTCTAAAAATCCAATTATGTCATCGCAAAAACCAACCCGAACATATGCACTTACGGAACTCAAAACCCTAGCACGTAATTAGACTGAAACAAGTACCTTGTGGCCAAATTATGCCCAACCAATCAAAGATCGTGTGCAAAAGGGTGAAGCTCAGTGAGAGTAGAACAAACTTTTGGGCTTCAGAAGACGAAATTATCAACTTATAATTACATCGCATAGCAGTAAGACCAGCGAGTCAATGTTCTGAAGAACATGTTCGAAGTTAGACGCTGCATACCTGATAACAACAGTGTCTGTAGACCCGCCAGGTATTATTCCAATCCGCAGTTTGGGATTAGAATTCGATAAACAGGTGTTAGGATTCTCCAATTCTATACCTCTTCGACTCGAGGGAGTGAAGTCAGAAGCATCACCTGCAACCCATAGCTTAGAGCTTCATCACAAGAATCCATAATACAACAAAATCAAGTGTTGACATCGCCCTCCTTCCCAATCACAACAGATTTGCGAGAAATCGACCGCAGAAATCGGCCTTTCCATCAACGTTGAATTCACTCTTACCTACATTAACGTACTTACGACATCCCAACATGCTGCGCTTCGGAAGAAAAATGGTGCTAAACTTTTCCAAGAACAGACTCAACTGAGACATGACTTCAAGAAGTTAGGTGAATTGCGCACATACCTTTCCTCTTTGTACCGATAATTGATTCTGCTGGAACTGCTGCAGGCTGCAAAAAAATTCCTTGTTCATCCTGTACTGGCATATTGTGAGAGATAGAGCAGTAACTTGAATTACTATCAGCCTGTCTTAGCAACCCATCTTCAGTCATTTGAGTCAGTGTGTCGTTTACAGCTGCATGCAACCCGTCACACCCAGCCCCATTCGAACTAGTTTGTGTGCCCTTGTCAACATTCTTGGCGTCTTGACCGTTAACATTTTCTAAGGATAAAGGGACAGCTCCATTCTGGAGTAGTGGATACTGATCTGGAGAATTTTCAACTGATAGCTCTATCAAGCCTCCTTTGCCTTTAGGCATTACAATGGCCTCAGAATTACGCTGTTGAAGAAGCGTCCGCTTTTTATAGAAACTATTCAATGTTTGGGGCATAACGGCAGGCTGCGCTTTGTGGCGATGCATAACCAAGCCATTCAATACTTCGTTGAAGAAGCCATCTCCTCCCTACAAATTTAATAAAAATTGTAAGGAGCAATTCGTTCTGTTGATGTATCTGCAACCTTACAAATAACTTAAGAGCAACACTTATGTAGGGGAAAAGAAAGAAGTGAATATCCAGCTTGAAGTAAACGAAATTTGCCTCCTATGCAAAATCAGTCAGCAAACAACAAACCACAACAACAACGCCATCCAAAGCATTGAGTTCGTCTGTCGTAGCACGTTCCATTATATCATGTGCATGGCCTGCCCTTTCAGTCTTGACCACCTGCAACAATCAAGGACATACGAAAAGACTTCAAATTATATCACTAAACACAGCTGTAAAACATTTGAGTTCTTACACATTAATATTCACATAAGGCAAACCGCCCGAAGGATATGTATGAGGATTAGAAACTACCGTCACTTTAATCTTCGCCAGCTCAAACAGAGACGCTACGCGTTTCCATGTTTGGACACAAGATCCCTTTCCTCCATAAGGATTGACGAAGACCTGTATTAAATAAGACACCAAAGCAACTGATTACTTGCTTGCGTGCAGCAACATATAGCAAGTAGGCAGGTAAGATCTTTACATAATTCGTTCAACCACGCAACACCTAAAAAGACAACACGATTATTTTCTTCATATCACAACATCCGACACAGAAGCAAGAATAACAACGCAATCAAAGGAGCTTATAAATGACTTGAATCCACCTTTGAAATCAAACATCATGTACCTACTACTTCATACCCATGACAAGTTATGTCCTGAACTCCACATAACCAGGCAATACACTTGGAGCATCACAAAATACTGCACGTTTACGGTTCATCTAAATAAAACGCACCAGCAATTCTTTTGGCCTACGAGAATCTCCATGTAGTAGCATTTGGATTCGTTGAGTCCACTGCTGAACATCAGGAGCACTGGAGTGCCCGAACACATACACCTTTGGGACCCACTTGCCATCGAAACGCACGAACGTATGCACTTCAACCCTATGCAACTACCCTTCCAAGTATGAGGACAAGGCACACAAGCAAATGCCATCTTAAAGTCATATTCTATAATGTCATAACAGCACATTGCTATATTACACTTTTGACTGCAAAGTTGGAAACATATCGACACTATTTAAACCAGCAACACCAGAACTTGACACTTAAAAAATGAGACATGGTTACGACGATGGTATTCCACGTAAAAATTCGCATACCTGCTTTGGTGCGAGAGAACCTCCACACAACTGCACTTTGGCCTGGTTAACAGGACCTAAATCTAATGATTTTACGGCGAAAACTTCTGCTATCGGCAGGTGTCCTTCAGTATCCTTGATTGTATTTCTACAGCACAGTAACGCATTTGCATCCTATTCACCAACACTGTAAATAATTAATGCACCACTCAAAGCACTTGATACGCGAAGTTAGGCTTAAAAAACCGCCCAAACGACTTGAAAAAAAAGATACAATATCCTTTCTTCCAGAAGACTACGTCTTTTAAAACGGTAATGATAAACAACGACAAAAAATGGACCCTGCAGATCTACGTAGCATTCAATCAAATAAACATACTCTACTAGACTTCTATACTAGAAGAAAACAATGCAGGGTCACGATTAATACCAGCTTCTGATTGTCATCCTCGACAGCACGCCACAAAAGATGAGTGTTGGAAAGCGTTAGCGTAACTTGACCAACATTTTCAAGATAAAATGTGTCTTCCATCACTGTGTTACCATTTCCACAGGAATGTCGTCTGCCAGATCTGGACATACCGCAACAATCACCCTTACTTCCACTGTTACACGGTTCTTTGATATACACATCTTGTCCTTCTTGAGGGGCAGTGCCAATTGATATATATCGATGATTATCGCTTCTCATCACCCTGTGCATGAGCATTGAAAAGCATAAATGTAACGGCCATAGCTCTTGCTAATAGAGTGCACATGCATCAAACATGAGAATGAAAACAATATGGTAGCCATACAGCTTAAGAGGAATGTACAAGTGATGGCAATAACACAGGTAACATGATCAAATAACAAAAAATATCTCCAGAACGCGCCTATTTAAAGGGTTGAAAGCCCAATCATGCAAATGATCATACATATACCAAAAAAATGATGTGCAATGTCAATCCCAGCATAGGGGCCCATTTCACTACATTATGTGACGTGTGGACTACCCTTACCAACTCCATTCTTCAGTAGAATAAAGCAAAATGATTGAAAGCAGAGATTGTCAGCCTTTCACTTGCCTGCCTTTCGTGGGACCCTCGCCCAACGCCATTTAGAATTGCATTACAGCTGGAACGTTCCTCCTCCTCCTTCTTCGTCTCTGCAGAACCAAAATTGCCACCAAGGCAATGCGTAAAAAAAGTTTTAGGTAAGGGAGTCAAGAAAAGCAAAAAGACTTTCAATTGGTGCTGAGCAAACATCAGTTTTCTAGGTGCATTAGAACTACATGTTCGAGGCCGTTATCTGAGATTTTCTCTACAAAAGCTGTTCCAACTACAGAGATAGTCGACACGTTTCTTTGTAGCAGAACCTAAAGACATGACGTGAAAGATTTACGTCCAGCTGCGTTAAAAAATCTACATTCAACTCAATTTCCACTTCCAGTCAAACATTACAAACAGGGAGCCTACTGGCACTGAATCAAACCTACAAATCTCTCAGTATTTCAAGGAACGCACGCCATTACAATCCTACAGCAAGATACATCATTCGAAAAATTCATCCGACATCAAGCTCCAATGCGCGTACCAGGATCCACACTGTCCTCGCTAATCTTTACTGCGAATCAATCAAATCCAAAAAGCTCTCTCCATCCAGACAAAGCCAGATCAAGTTTGGAGCCCTAGAATCTGACCTTCAGAAATCGCCTTCGGATCACAGGAACTCTCACATCAGCAGCAGCAACTGAGGACGAAGATGGTTTCGGGAAAAATAATTATACATACAAGGAAGACAAAAAAAATAAAAGTAAAAAAATAAATAAGGAGCTAATTTATAAATTCCGCGTCAACATCGATGTGCATTTGCCTCGTCGATCATTCTCGGAACCGCAAAACCGCAAAATCTCAGCATTCGCGACCACCACGAAAATCGCACTGAAGTTGCTAGGAAGTTTGATGTTCGTCGAAGCTGCGACGGAAAGAAGCGGAGTCCGATGTGGCGTCAGTCGCCAACTCAGGATATTATTTCTGCCAACTCGACAAAAACAAATATATATATATATATATATATATATATATACATGTGGCTGTTTAAACGTCATGGACGGCATTTCTGTTTGTGCGATTTTCATCGTCAAATTCCGTAACGATTTGCTCAGTTTCAGTTTACTAGATCTCCATCTTCGGATTTAACAACAACATATATATATATATATATATATAGATTACAAATTAAATTAAGAGTACAACTTCACAATTACTTTTTCTCAGTTTCAAATAGAGAAAAAATTGTCATGTACACATAGATATATAGACATAATCTTTGAAAAGATAGGAAACGATGAGTCTATGAATAGTTTGAAGTTGGTTTATATCTAATTCTGTAAGCACAGGAAATTTGAAGAATAAAAATAAAATAAAAATAGATATAGCCATAGCATTTGATTGGTCAAAAATAAACAGAAGCTCGTATACTTGTGTATTTTCTTGTATAAATTCTGTACCACAGAATCACAATCCGACAACCGCGAAAGACAACAATAAAGGATTCAAGAATAAGAAGGAAAAAATTAACTCAAAAAATGACATGGAATCTCACAGGATAGCAATACTTGCAAAAACGACGATATTAGATTGTTGCTCTGCTTGAAGGAGTCATTAAAAGTCGTAGTAAGAGGATTAAAAAAAGGTGCGTAAGTAAGCAAGGACGTGCGAAGAAGGGGAGGGGGGGGGAGGAGGACATGATGGTGTGTGAGCACCTTGAATGAATGGCGATACCGAGAAGAGACCGGTGGAGAGGGGCCCAGAGGAGACCATCTTGCGTGCGCTGCACAGTACTCTGCGAGCTCTGAGATCGGATCGGAAGCGAGTTTCCGAGGCCAGGGAATGAGCTTTGAGGACATTTTTGTGGTGCATGCGGTGAAAAATGCCTGAGGGCAGGTGATCTTGGAGGCACAATGGCGAGGCTGAGCATGTGTGTGCAGTGTTCGTGTTGTTAGTCTCTTTTCTCCTTGTAGCTGAGATCAGCAACCATGGCCCCAGTTGCGGAGACCGATTTTCCATCTCCACTCCAGCTGCCGTTAAGCCACAAGTCCGTGGCGTCTCTATTCCAGGACGATAGCTCGGGGCCTTTGTGGTTTAAGAAAGATGCGTTCCTCTCTGGTTCTTTTGATGCGGAGGCTTACATCTCAGATCTGCGACGCTTTGTGCCCTTCGAAACCCTAAGGGCCGAGCTTCGTGATCATTTGGGAGGGTTGAAAAGCGAGCTGGTGGAGCTTATTAATAGGGATTATGCTGATTTTGTAAACTTGACTACGAAGCTTGTGGACGTCGATGGCGCCGTGCTACGTATGCGTATGCCCTTGAACGAGCTCCGGGGGAAGCTTGTCGTGGTGAGGGATAATGTGAACAGCACGCTGCTTTTATTGCAAGACGGGTTGAAGAGACGGGCGGATGCGTCCGCTTCAAGAGAAATGCTGGATTTGCTATTGGACACTTCTCATGTTGTCTCCAAGGTTCATCTCCTGTCTACTCTTGTCTATCCTGTGGTTTCTTCTGTATCGCGTATGCGTTCTTCACGCAATTTTGCTAGCCTCTTTCTTCATTGTCTATGCCCAACACATAGCTTGAAAATTGCACTTGAGTAATAAATAGGACAAAATCCTTGCTCCTCATAGCTGAAGCGGTCCAAATCGAAGTATACTGTACTTACATTACGGCTTTCGGAAATTTTCAACTTGTTATTGGGCGATACCAATTTATATTCCGAACCTTTAAACGGTAATTGAGATCCAGTTATTTTACGCAACAAATTTTCAGGTTTATTCAATGAACTTCACTGATAGATTAGCCGAAAATTATGCAGGTTGAGAAGCTTCTACTGGAGTTGCAAAGTATGCCTGAAGAAGGGCCGCAGGTGCCTCCAGCTGAAAGGAACGACGGATTTAGGAGAGTATACAGCAACAGCAACTTAGGAGAAGAGCAGGGTGCCAGTCCGGAGGAAGCACGGAGTCGATTACTGGAAAGAATAGCTAGCGAAATGAATCGATTGAAGTTCTATGTTGCGCGTGCTGAGGTTTGTTTATGATTTATGTTTTTTCATGCGCATGTCTCAACATTCAAAATATTCATTTGTACTCTCTTTTTTGTCACTAGCCCGTATAGTTTCAAGTGAAAGTACGAATTAATGTAGGAAATTTGTTCAAATAATTATCTTGCAGTTCCGCTTTTCTTCTGTGGATTTCAAGTTATGATATTTTGTTTTTACACAGAGTGTCACATTTGTGCCACTTGCTCAGAGTCCCACACATTAGTCGTGAAGGTTTCAACATAAAATGACTTAAAAGGTCGCTCTTGTTTGCAACCAGCTACGCCCTGAATTTTACATACATTTGTGAAGGTATGTTTGGTTTATTGAGATTGTCCACCATGATACTCTTTGATATTCACATAGTTTTATCTCAATCTCGTCTTATCGTGTTTCCACAGGACTTGCCATTCATTCAAAATATGCAACCTCGCATAGGGAGCGCAGATGCGTTTTTGGATGCTAGTTTAAGGCGCTGTTTTGTGAGGGGTCTTGAACTTCGGAATGAAACTGTGATTATTCACTGTTTACGTGCATACGCTGCAATAGACAACAGTGCTGGAGCTGAGGAGGCATTTCGATCTGCTGTTGTGGCGCCATTTGTACAGAAAGCTCTTCTCTCACCGCCAACGGGAGTTGCAGTGGCTCCAAGAAGTGATAGGTTTGAAGAGTTTTTGGAAGAAATTAAGGCCTACATTCAAACTGATTGCCTGTTTCTTCTTGACAAGGCTGCGGCAGGTATTTATTACTTCTTACCGTACCTATCATTGTGCCCTAACATTGCTTTCGGGGTTACTTCATATTGAGAGTCCGGAAGTTTCTTGTTGCTTACCGTGTTACTTATTGAATGCCTTCGCCATTTCAAGCTACGTTTACAAGACCATGTACCTGCCTGCATTGGTGGAGCATGTCATTAGACACTTCAGTGCACAGCTACTCGATGGTGCCATATTGCAATGACATTAATAAAGTTACCATGAGAGTGATAGTATGTTGATAAGAACACATTGAAAGAAAATATCGACTGTTCTCTGATGCTACTAAAAGTTTTTAATAGGATGGTGAGCAGCGGATGGTCATAGAACACATTGTTGTAAAGATCAAAGGTATCAAATCCTGCGCTACATCTGATGTATCTCTTATTCATCCCCATACGGTGACTATACGTGTTCAAAAGTAGAGATGTTATGTGTGACTGACGCACTTGCCTTGTTCCTTTGGATTCTTGCAGCGAATTCCGGTCTTCTAGTATTCGACTTTTTGAGCAGTTCAATTTTGAAGGAGGTACTTTCGGCTCTACAAACTGGAAAGCCGGGTGTTTTTTCCCCAGGAAAACCTAAAGAGTTTTTGGTGAACTACAAGTCCAGTCTGAAATTTTTAAGTTTTCTAGAAGGTATTGCTTATTGCCTCAATTCTTACTATGCTTTGTGCTCTGTAACTTCATGTGCCTTTATGTGGCTTCTGTGGAAGCTTCTTACTATTTTTTTGAAGGGATTGTTCTACCCTACCATTATTGGCTTCTCTTGCCATTTCATGTGAATGCTTATTATTTCATCATCAGGAGTCTAGTGTTGTTGGCTGGGACATGGGTCAAACACAATATCAAGTATTTGCTGTTGGTATGGCGGTGTCTTTATGGTTTGTTTACCTTTTTGCAGGGTACTGTCGTTCAAAAAATGCAGTAGGTGCTTTTCGTACATCGGTTGCATACACGGATTTCCTCAAGCAATGGAACCTACAAATATATTTTACTTTGAGGTATGTTTGATTTGCTATCAGAACCACTAATGTTTTCATCCTGATGCTATATTTTATTTTGGAAGAGACGACCTCTGGCATTTGGTGATGAGCTAATGCAGGTGTGTAACCAATAATCTCTTGTTAGATTCCAAGAAATTGCGCAGTCTCTAGATAGCGCCCTTGCCGGACCTCCCGCAGCAGTAAAATCTCCGGATATAGCTGAGGAGAGCAAGGTTGGATTGGCTGTAAGCTCTAGTGTCTCGCTTTGGGAGTGCCTGCAACGCTGTTGGCAAGATGATGTGTACATTGATGCCATCTCTGATAAATTTCTGCGTCTTACACTCCAACTTCTGTCAAGGTTTGGCCATCTCGTCTTTATTTTGTTTGTTTGCTGTATGCATTCTCTGTTACTCGATTTCATCCCATGTTCATCTGTATTAACTTCGGTAATTGGAAAATTTCTTAGATATGCGACGTGGTTATCAGCTGGTTTGGCTGCTCGCAAAGCTGGCGATGCGACTAACTATCCAGGAGGCGAGTGGTCGTTAGCCTCTGCTCCTGAAGACTTTGCCCTTGTAGGGCTCTAATCTTCAACTTAAGAACTTTGTGTTGCCATTACTTCCTAGACATGCATCTCCTCCTTGAAGCGGGGCTCTTTGGGTTGGGCTAAGTTGGTGAGGTAGGTGTACACTAATGAGTTTGTTTTCTGTGCAGCTAAGACACGATGTAGAGCTTCTGGTTCGTATGGTGAAGAGTTCACATGTTGATAAAGTATTAGCTCTTCTTAATGGTAGCCCGGATAATGTTGTGGTGGTAGTGCGTGAAAGCCTGAATCTGGGGCTTCGATCTTTGTCGACTATGGTACCTGCTCTGTCTGATGTTCTCACGGATGCTTTGACCGATAAATGTGTAGAGGTAAGAGTGTTTCGTCTTTGTGATAGTTCACTTCCATCGGAACTACTGAAGAACTTATCGCGTACTGCTGTGTAATGCAGCTTGGTTTTCCATGGTTCAATACTCTAGTCTATCTAATAAGTGTTATGAGTCAGTTTATTTGCTGTGTTCTTAGTTAGCAACCCTGCTTGGTTGCAGGTTCTCAAGCAAGCTAAAGGTATCGTCGCAACATACCGCATGACAAATCGGCCACTCCCCAGTCGCCACTCACCCTATGTTTCGAGTGTCTTCCAGCCACTTAAGGTCAACTCTGTCGCACATGACGCTAACCTAGTGATTGTGGAGTTGAAGGTTTTCTTTACGAGCAATGTTTACTCTTTGAGATTTATGCATGCTCGCCTCCCACATTGACTTGAGTTACTCATCTGTGGTCATGCTTTTTCCAGAAGTTAGTTTTTATCCTCGTCTTAATGATTTGTTTTGATATTGGTTCCATGTGCGTTTTGTTTTTTATGCAGGCATTTTTGGAAGATGAAAGATATGCCCATGTAATGAAAGAGATGCAAGCAGAATTACTTGCTTTGGTGTCAGAAAAAATAACATCTCAATATGACGTTTTGGCACGAGACATGGTTTCAATGGTCAGTGTTCTTGTCCTGGCTTGTTCTTCGGTAACATGTTTGTCTTGATCTGATTGATCCGACATTCAGTCCTAATGTGGTGCTCTTGTCTGCAGGCTAGACAAACGGAAGCCTCATTGCTGCTTTTGAGGCGAGGTGCACGGCAAAGAGGTGCTGGAGCTGCTGACACTAATGACAACGTCTCTGATAACCTTTCTGATAAGATCTGTGCTCAGTTGTTCTTAGACGTTCAGGTATTCCTTTAATTAACTCTTAGTATTAAGTTGAGGCATTGACAAGATCCTGGTTGATACTGTAATCGTACTGTCTATAATTTGCTTCAAATTCTGCTGATTTTTTAGAAATTTCAAGTGGGTTACATGTGAGTGTCATTTGGTGTGCACAACACTCTTTCTAAATTGTCCGGGTCTTATTTGGGATGCTTAACAGGAATATGGTCGCCGTTTAGCAGCATTGGGAGTCAAAGCAACGGACATACCAGCCTACATCTCCTTGTGGCAATGCGTTGCTCCTCAGGATAGGCAAGACGTTGTCCAATTCTAGCCCATCTTTGATCACTAGTAGAAATTGTAGGCTATTTACCTTAAAATAACCGGGCACATGTTACCATACTGTGTGGGTTGGGTCATTAATGCGAAGGACTCTCAAATTATGCTTTTTATTCAGATAGTTATTTCCCAGTATGCAGCAAAGTATTTTTTTTTTTTTTTTTTTTTTTTTTCTCTCTCTCTCTCTCTTATCGTGTTTTCATTTTCAGCTATTCGATTGCTAAATTGTTTATTAAGATCTGTTCTATTGGACCTTTGTGCTGAGCCTCTTCTGCTTTTTCATCATACTATGCATATATGTAGCCATCTAGAGGCCTGACAAGAGCATACAAGTTCTGCAGAATAATAT